CTCTTTCCATTGTCCTAGGCGCTTTTAGAGTATGGAATTAATATAGATAGTTTGTATTTCTCTTGTTCGGGGTCGTTGTCCCAGCCTGAGGGTCGAAGTTAGAAGACTTCCTGCAATGATATGATAATACCTTGAAATACAGAAAAGTTGGAGATGAAAAGACGTGAAAAAATAACAGGCCGAAATTTGTGAGAGTGAGTAGCTGAGCAAAGAGATTCGTCGGCGGATTTGTGTTCTGGCCATGATAACCCTTGGAGTGACAATAATTGCCATAAGTGGAAATAATGGCGGTCTAAAGTCTAAGTCACAGTTGTACTACCATCCAAACACTCGGAAGTACAAGATCCAACCTGAACAGGGTTAGTTCAGGTGGGATGGGAATAAACCATGCATGGTCCGGGGATTCATACGTTCCAAGAAACAAAAGTTCCAGTCGGATGGCTGTCTTCTCACTGCTCATTGAAAAAACACTGGGCAGAATTATAATATCTCATGACAGTTGCCTCTCTTGTCACCCACCCCTGTTTCTAACAAGTTGTCATAAAGTGGGCTTGCCCCACATATAACTACAGTAGGTTTCACCACGAATGCGAAATTCCCCGCCATGTCCACCAAAGAGCGGTGCTGTCGATGTAGAAGGCCCAAAGGCCCAAAGTCGGAGTGAATACGCGACAATTATAAGGCAGCATGGTCACTGGGGGATTCTTGGGCTGTACCACACAACCGCATCTCGCTTGAAATCATCTTTTTGCTCTATTGTATCGAAATCCTAAGAACAGTATGATATCGGCCGCCATTATCGTGTCTGCTCTGTTCTATTGCTTCTATAGTTGCAGAAAGAGAAGCTACAATCTCCCTCCTGGGCCCAAGCCTTTCCCTATCCTTGGGAATGTCAGAGATCTGCCTCCGACCGGCATTCCCGAGTATAAGCATTGGCTCAAATTCAAAGACATCTATGGTCCCATCAGTTCCATTCATATCTTGGGGCAGAGGATCGTACTTCTTCACGATCGTCAGGCTGCGCACGACTTGCTGACTAAGTCTTCGACAAAGACCTCGGGTCGCCCTTATATGCGGTTTGCGGACATGTGCGGATTCGCATCGCTCCTCAATCTTCAACAATACGATGGAACATTTCGACGGCATCGCAAATTGGTCCACCAGCAATTTGGGACGAAGGCAATGGCAGCACGATTTCGGGACAATATCGAGCCAGAGTCACATCGATTTCTTCTCCGAGTTCTGGATGATCCAGCCAACTTGGCGCAGCACATCAAGACGTAAGTTCACATAGCCCGAATGAACGCGGAGGCACCGACGCGATATCCATCACTATGCTTTAGATTGTCCCTAACTGAATTCGTATAGTGAGGCGAGCGCCATCATTCTCAAGATAACCTATGGCTATTCTATTTCGCATAGCGGAACCGACCCTTTGGTTCATCTGATTGAGCGCACGATGGACGTGTTTGCACTTGCAACTGTCCTGCTCGCTTGGGCTGTGGATATCATGCCCATACTGCAGCATCTTCCAGAAGGCCTTCCAGCAACGTCCTTCAAGAAGCAGGGTCGAGAATGGAGAAGGCTTCTGCAGACGACACAAGACGTCCCCTACTTATTCGTACAGGAAAAGATGTCCAAAGGAACCCATGAACACTCATTCGTCTCGTCACTCCTTAAAGAAGACAGTATTGTCGACTGCGGGACTAAAAACGACTATTCCGAGGATGACATCAAGAAGACAGCCTTGGTTATGTACGGCGGGGGAGCCGACACCACTGCGTCAGCCCTTCACAGCTTCATCCTAGCCATGATCCTATTCCCAGATGTCCAGAAGAAAGCACAGGCGGAAATTGATGGTATTGTCGGCAGAGAGAGGTTGCCTGACTTTGGAGACCGAGATCGCTTGCCATATATCAATGGCGTAGTGAAGGAAGCTTTGCGATGGCTCCACGTGGCGCCATTAGGCGTTGCCCATCGGACCGATGAAGACATCAGCTACCGAGGCTTTGAAATTCCCAAAGGGACCTACTTGCTGCCGTCGATATGGTGGTTCTTGCATGATCCTCATACATATTTGGATCCCTCTTCCTTTGACCCTGCCCGATATTCGGCACCTCGTAATGAGCCAGATCCCACGGATGAAGCCTTTGGGTACGGTCGGAGGATTTGTCCCGGCCGATTTCTGGCGGATGAGAGTCTCTTCATTACCATTGCGCGTCTCTTGGCGACATTTGATATCAACATGGCTGTTGATGACTCGGGTAATAAAATTGCGCCCCAGATCGCTACTACGAGTGGCTTGATTTGTCGTCCGGTCGACTTCCCATACAGCATCACACCAAGAAGTGAGCAATCCGTGCATCTAGTCAAGTCAGCCCATGAGAAATATTCTTCGGAAGATGAAGATGCGGATCTTGTTCGGGACAAGTTCCCAAAAGTATTTGAGTAATGAGCATTCGTGGTGGTAAACCCAAAGGTAGAGCAAGATTAAAGTCGTTGAATCTGGAAATAGAAAGAAGCTACACTAGGACTTGTTTTCAAACACGAAACAAGACAATGCCTGCCATTCATAAATCCACTTCCGTCTGAAGTAGTGGTTCGTTACATCACTGCGGGGTTCCAGTCTCTTTTAATGTCTCGAAAGGATGGAAGCCGCCGCATATCAGGAAGATCGAGAGTTGAACAGGATCATGACATATTAATCAAGCAGGCTTTAAGTTTTATGGCTTCCACTGTTGACCACTAGTAGGCTCAAGCTCTCGTTCAAAAAATCAGAGCAGGAACAAAGTAGTACTCTGGTGGTTAATGATCCAGATAAAGAACCTTTCCACATGTATACGACTTAAAACCAAAATTTATGCAGCCCATGATTAGTCAAATTCCTCTAGCAGCGAGTCGGGCAATTTCTTCTGCGGCGATATCTCTGCCCGGACGGCGAAGCGTCTGCTGTATTGCCCTCGCATTGTCTCTTTTGGCGACGCTTTCGGGCCCTCCATCCACGAGCCGCAAGAGGGCTTCACTAAGCTCGTCAAGAGAGAAGCCAGGGGCTGATTTTCTGTTGCCCCATATTCCAATCCCGACTTGCTCAACCCTAGCGGCGTAGTTATACAAGTCGAGCCAAGTCGCCAGAATGAGATGCGGCACGCCAGTCCTAGTATGCCTCGCATTAGCACCCATCCGCTAAGAGATACTAGATTGTTCGCAATGGTATAGACCATGACGAATGTCTCGAGACAGTGTTAACACTCACGCGAGAGCTTCGTGATAGCAATTAGCCCCGCCATGGTGGACGGAAGCAATGATATCGCCCGTCTCGAGAAGAGCAGCTGGATCCACCGTCAACCACTTCAATACCCTGAGCCTATCGTTCGCAATGAACTCCTCCACCAAGGGCCTCCATTCCTTATCATCGAGACGAGTGTTCATCTTCCACAGAACCTGCACACTCGTGCGTCTCAGGACAGCCTCTAATGCGCCGGCCATGCTGCTTGCTCTGTCGGCATCGTATTCAAACAAACTACCAAGGTTGATAAGCACCGTCGGAGCCCTCCTTAGCCATAATGTTAGATCAATGTCTTGTTCTGCGGCCGAGGCGACCAAAATCACAATAGGACCCGTTGTGGTGACGTTGGCTGGAACTGAGCTGAGCGGAATGGAGGCAGCAGCTGTGTCTTGGGAGATGAACACGCCGTTTCCAGGCTGGTGAATGGTGAAAAAGCCGATTGGGTCCTCGAGATTGTGGCTAGCTAGGAACTTACGCTTCTCGACGAGCTCCGGATTAAATAGCATGGCCCATGCAAAACTACCCATCTGGTAGATATTTGAGGGAATGTCTCGCCACGGAACAGGGAAGTCATGGCCGGAGCCAAGGCTGCTTTCTTCAGTACGAGTCTCTACTTGGAGGAGGAAAGTTAGCTTACGCCGGGAATTGCCAAAAACCTCTGAGCCAGGGCTGTGCACCACCGAACACGTCGGCCAGGACGTTTGGCGACAAGATGGCGTGCAAGCGATTATCGCCTCGGGTCGCGTCCATCCCCGGCCGGTGGAACATATCGAGTACAACGACAGCGGGATCGATGTCTCTAATGAGTTTCTGTACATGGTTATGGATCATGAGGTGGTCTTCTCCCGTCCACCGTGAGACGAACATAGCCATGTCATCATTAAGTCCTTTTAGTCCCTGGATCCCAGGTGGACGTATCCAATTTGGTGTGAAGTTGAACCCAGAGGCGTCGGAGGACTTTGGAGCGGGCAATTGATGAAAGATGGCGGGACGAGATGACGGAGATTTTATGCGGGCGTGGGCGGAAATCCTGGCGATCTTGGGCTCGATCTTGGGCCATGATGCAAAATGTACTATGATCTCTGGGTGACGTTCTAACAGAGAATAGACTGTCGCAACGTGAACGTTCGAGAGCCCATGCTCAACATTGGTAACAAACAACACAGTGTTGTTCTTACCGATGACTGGAGGCTGTCGTTCGGTCTTAGTGCTGCGAAGGGAAACGGCGGCGGCCAGGAGGGCGATGATCAGAGCCCCGAAAACCTGAATAGGTTTGTTTGAGAAAACGATCATTTTGAGACTACGACAGGACGATTTACTTAGAAATTTCGCAGCCACTTGCTAACCTGCATGGCCGAATCATATATGTAGTACTAAGTTTTACCTCCCAAACACAACTCTGTGCATGCGTTCTTCCAATTCCATGGTGGTGGAGTCGCATCACTATATCGGCGATCAGCTCGTACGGGGACCTGTGGTCGCATGGTCATCATCTGCATAGCAAGATGACCGTGCATCAACCGAATACAACAGCTCCTTGCCCTGGTCATTCTGTCGGACTTTCGGTCAAGCGGAGGCCAAATTGCCTCCGAAAGCACACCGCAAGAATTCGCCGTGAACCTAAGCATAAAACGGTCCATCAGACTCCGGCTTATCCCCCAGTACTGGTGCTGCTCACTATAAGCTGAACTTTTCTGGCCTCGAACTTCCCATAATGACTTTCAAATTGCCTCCCACGATTATTCTCGGAACACACAGTGTAGGCATTTTCATGTTGCTAACTGAACGCCGCTGATACGTCACCAGGTTGGAGACTCCATTGTCGACCCCGAAACCTCTCACTTTGATGCCGAGCAAGATGTCCAATCTCTTCTAGATGACTTCTATGGCCGTGGATACAACCAACTCGACACAGCTCGCGATTACTCTCCGAATGTACCAGGTGCATCCGAGTCACGTCTCGGCAAGGCTAAAGGCGCCTCTCGGTTCACAATCCACACAAAAGTCCACAGTGCAGACCCGGGGGATCATCTACCCACAAAGCTCGGACTTAGCATTGATCAATCACTGGAGGATCTCCAAACACCCACTGTCGAGACCATGTTTTTGCATTTTCCGGACCGCCATACTCCCTTTGAGGATACAATCAAAGCGATGGACACTGCTCTGAAACAAGGGAAATTCAACAGGTACGGTCTTTCAAACTATTCAGCTACTGAGGTGCAACGAATACTCGATATCTGCGAGCGACATGGGTATAGGAAGCCTAGTGTGTATGAGGGACATTATAACGCCATTGTGAGAGGAGCGGAGAAGGAGTTGTTTCCCCTGTTGCGTAAGCATAGTATGGCCTTCTACGCGTACAGGTACGTCTGCAAACCCGATGATTCGAGAGCTGAATGCGAGTTAACTTTGGTCTAGTCCCGCGGCTGGCGGTCTTTTCTCAGGCCATACTGCTTCTTCGGGACGATGGAAACGCGATGTAGGTTAAGAGGCTGGTGTTCCAAGTTGAGTCATTATTCTAACTCAAAGAACATAGAACTTCCTAGGCAACGTTTATACTTACCTCTATCGGAAACCCCCGGTCCGCATTGCAGCAGCTACAATACTTGAGCTTGTAGAAAACTACGGTATCAATGGACACGCTGCAGCATTGCGATGGACAGCATTTCATAGTAACCTAGATGGAAAGCATGGCGATGCCGTCATCTTTGGTGTTTCCAAGACGGAACAGCTTCATGAGACGCTCGATGCCCTTGAGGCTGGTCCTCTTCCCGAGGATCTTGCGGTTGCCATAAACTCTATTTATAGTACAGTAGAAGGCGCCGAGCCTCCTTACCACTTATAAACAAGTGAAAGGTGCAATTGAATAACGAGATCAGGGAGAAGTATCATCGGAAGATGTCGAGACGGAAAGGGGTGGGATGACAAGGGCCGACGTTGGAGGTGGCGAGGCTAGGCACAGCAGGTAAAGAGGCGGAGGCCATTTTCAATCGGTATAAGTACGACATGTTGTTAAAGGAACTAGAGGGGGAGAGCGAGTCGAACTAAATAAACGGGGATTGAAAAGAACCTACGAGGGGACGAGGCTAAGAAACGTAAACTTAAGGAAGAACTTGAAGAAAGGAAGTAAGACAGAGCAAAGTGACCTCATGGCTACTCTTTTGGAGCCACGCGATTGCCACAGCTACAAATGTAGTAGCACAAGTCCTCGTTACTTACTAATATCTTACACTTGTATTGTGCTATCAAGAATCATCGAATGACAAGTACAAAGCAGATGTTTATGTTGAGGATAAAGCCTAGGCCTTACTGGAAAATCATGCCATTGCCTCATCAGCCATGCGCCATCGCCCTTACAAATCCTATGCAGTTGATAATCTATGACTTCTCGTATCCCGAGGTCGAACTTTCTTCATTACCAACGACATTCTCATAAGCCGGCACTGGTCTACGGGTCCCGTCATACGCCGGAAGCTCCTCCGCGACACCAGCGGATGGTGGTCGTGACTGTGTGTCTGCAGCTGCCACCCTATCAACAGCCGGCGACACGACAAACTTTTGAGACCCGCTACACTTCCATGACTCCCCCTGCAACGACAAGCTGGAACTTCCACTTGAAAGTGTGAGCCAAAAAAAAAGCAGTACGTTGTGTTATCCGGCCCCAGTGGGAAATGATGTTTATGCTCGCGCGGTGCCGAGCGACTGCGCGCATCCAAAGGTGCGCTCAACTCCAATGCCCTCTTTCCGGTACATTTACCCTCATGCGCTTCAACTCTTCCTGGGCACGATACACCCGCTATCATTAAGAGATTGATCACCGCGTTCGTCAGATAAACCTTTTGCAGGACATCGCGAAATAGGTCGGAGCTCTTCGCACGGTCGGGGATGATGTTGAGCCGGAACGGGGTAGCGGCAGGGTTGCCCAGTTGAATGACCGAGGGACACTCCACTCGTAACTTGAAGTGCCATGCCGGCACCCTTTTCGAACCGAGGAACATCTGCATTTTCTGATTCCATGTCAGTTCCGCGTGCTCCATCCCCGATGGCTCGTCACAGATCCTTCCGTCATCGTGCCACGCATTTCGAAATCCGTGTTCACCGCCCGCGCCGGCCGTGACGATACCCGCACTGGCAGCGTTGCCTCGAGACGGTGCATCTTCTTCCCCTCCACTAGTATCACCGCTTCGAGAAAGTAGTCTACGAACCTGTGCCCTTTATAGATTGTCATGGCGCAACTCGCCGGTAGTGGCTACTCTGGCAGTGCCTGCTTGCCTATTACGTCTCCCGGTGCGCGGAAATAGCTAGCCTCCCGTTAGACCCTTCGAAGCCCCTAGCGTATACGATTCTTAGGTTTTTAACTAGTTCTAGTTAAAGCGCGGATTTTTATTAGTTATATATTAAGGTTATATAGACCTTTTTTATTTAAAAAAAGATATAATATTAAAAAACTAGTTATTATATAAAAAAACTAATTAATACTCCTTATAAAATCGAATTAAATAACTTCTATTTTCTAAAATTAGTATATTATACTTCGACTACTTTTTTACTATAAAAACCGCTTTTTATAATTTTAATACTATTTTTTTAAAACAAATTTAATATATTTTTTATTATTCTCCTTTAGTATTATTCTTATTAATATATTCTTATTAAGTATATTTAGTTATTTCTTATTTAAATATCGTATACTTTTTTTATTTTACTAAAAGACTTATTACTAAGTAGTTCTATTTTTTTAGATTTTTCTTTTTTATTTAGTATAAATATATTTTATATCGCTTCCTTAATTATTCTTAATTAGTATATTTTTTAAGTACTTAATATATACCCTTTAAATATAAAAACTAATTATTTATATAAAACTAATTATTTATATAAAAACTAGTTTCTTATATAAAAACTACTCTTTTATATAAAAACTACTTTTTTATATAAAAACTACTCTTTTATATAAAAACTACTCTCTTATATAAAACTAGTTATTTATATAAAACTAGTTATTTATATAAAAACTAATTACTTATTTAAAAACTAATTACTTATATAGAGATTAGTTAGTTAATACTCTTTTAATAAATTTCTTAAAACTTAACTTTTATATAAATACTTAACGTATTCCTAAGTTTTTAATTAAAGTTCTTTTTATTTATTTTACTTTTTATCTTATTATATCTTATATACTCCGACTTTTATAACTTTTTATATTATTTTGATAATATTTTATATTTTTTTTATAATTATTATTCTTATATAACGGGCGCCTTTAGCACCTACCCCGCTTTTTAATACCTACCCTACTTTTTTTTAGGGTACGTACGCGGGCGCGCGGGTATACGGGCCTAATATTAAAAAAAAGTAGTACGTATATAAGCGTAGGTATAAGTAAGTATACGCGCAGTCCGCTACTTTTATAATTATAAAGTACGGGCTACTCCCCCCTCTCTCCCTAGCTAACTAATAACTTATAGCTATAAAAACTAAGGACCTTCGACCCCCCCCCCTTTTTAATAATATATAATAGCGGCCCGGGTAGCCTATTTATAGCTATAATAGACCCCTAGAGAGGCTCGTTAGTATTAATAAAGTATATAACGGCTTATAATTATAAAAATTAAGCCCCTACTATATCCCCTCTACTCTCCCTTAAGCCGCTACTATAGTAGTATATTATACTTAGTTATTTATACTAATTATAATTATATTAAGCCCCTAGACTTAGTTAAAAAATATAGCTAAATATAGTAAGTACTTAGTAGCTTATAGCTATAAAAACCTAGGCTTTTGAGACTACCGGGGCTTTATTACTATTATTATTACTATTATACCCTATATATTATAATTATAATTAGTTAGCTAAGTTATGACTATTATTTTTTTTATTACGGTTATAAAGACCTAGGCTTTTAAAACCGCTAGGGCACTATTATTATTATTATTATTATTATTATTATAGCTTATTACTACTATAATTAGCTAGCTAGGTTATAACTATTACTTTTCTTATTATAATTGTAAAGACTTAGGCTCTTAAAACTACCGGGGCCCTATTATTATTATTATTACTATTATTACGGCTTATTATTATTATAATTAGCTAGCTAAGCTACGACTATTACTTTTCTTATTACGACTATAAAGACCTAGGCTCTCGAGACTACCGGGGCCTTATTATTACTATCGTTACTATTATTATAGCTTATTATTATTATAATTAGCTAGCTAAGTTACGACTACTACTTTTCTTATTATAGCTATAAAAACCTAGGCTCTTAAGACCGCCGGGGCCCTATTACTACTATCGTTATTACTATACTCTATATATTATAGCTATAATTAGCTAACTAAGTTATAATTACTATTTTTCTTATTATAGCTATAAAGACTTAGACTATACGACGAGTAAGCGAGTTATTAATAATAATAATATAAATATAGAAGTACCCTACTCTATACTTTCTTATTAATAATATTATATAATATAAGTAAAATATATATTCTTATTCGTTCCTTTATTTATAGTTACTTAAAAAAAGTCTATCTCGGTCTCTATTTATTAATACTAAGTTACTATTTATATCTACTATTTATATCTGCTATTTATTTAGTAATACTTATTTACTTAACCTTAGGTATTACTTAGTTTACTACGGCAATAAGTAATTCTATTTTCTATTTATTATTACCTTATATTTATTATTATTATTTAGTTATAGCGAATTTAGCCCTATACCCCCTCGTTTTTATCCTTAAAAACTACCTCACTATCCTTTTTAGTTACGTTTTTTATTTTAATATTACTCTCTATTTTTATATCGCTATTAATTAAGTACTAAAGGGTTAGGCTTAAAAAGAAAATTTAAAATTTATAAATCTTAAATACCCACTACCTTAGCCAGCTTTTTACTTACTAATAGTAAATAAAAAGATTTTAATCCTAAATACCTATATTAACTACCTAAGCTACCCTTTTACTTACTATTAATAAGTTAAAGAATAATTTAGGATTTATAAACCCTAACTACTTACTACCTCTATTAACCTTTTATATATTATTAGTAAAATAAAAAAATATTTAAGATTTATAAACCCTAAATACCTAGGCTAACTTTTTACTTACTATTAGCGAGTAAAAGAATTTAAGTATTAAATACCTTATTTAACTAGCCGAGCTAACCTTTTACTCATTATTAATAAGTAAAAAAAATTAAGTATTAAATACCTTATTTAACTAGCCGAGCTAGCCTTTTACTTATTATTAGCAAGTAAAGAAAATTAAGTATTAAATACCTCGTTTAACTAACTAAACTAGCCTTTTATTTATTATTAATAAGTAAAAGAATTTTAAAATCTATAACCTAATTAATTAGCTAAGCTAACTTTTTACTTATTATTAATAAATAAAAGAATTTTAAAATCTACAACCTAGTTAATTAGTTAAGCTAACTTTTTACTTACTATTAATAAATAAAAAAAGTTTAGAATTTATAACCTAGTTAACTTTAATTATATTTCTTATTCTAATCCCTTTAATAAATAAAAGTAATAATAAATCTATTATTTTTCGTTTTAACTTTCTTTTTTAAATCTATTATAAAACCTTCGTTATTTTAAGATTTTTTTTTATTAAAATCCTATTTACTATACTCGTTTTTATTATATTATATAGGTTTTATATAAATAGTACCCTCTTCGCTAATAAATTATAAACTAACTCTATTTTTTTTTTTTTAATAAACTAAGATCTCCCCGTTCTTTTTTAATTTTTAGCTATTTATACTACGAGTTAATATTTTTTAATAAAAATATTAAAATACCTAATCCTAGTATATTAACTAAAATCCC